AAAGGAGCTGATATGTTCATAAAAGTTGTTGAGAATCTTATTTTCTTTCATTTATCATACACACATTTTCAAATTAACACACAAAATTAGTTAAATTAACCAAAATTGATTTTACATATTAATTTAATGAAATTTTCGTTATTGTCCCTCAAAAAGCATTAATTAATGATAAATTACAACTTTCCTGCAAGAGTTTACTGCAATAAAGCCTTCTAATTTAGTTAATTTAAGTAAAAGTTTATTTTACAACTCTTTATGAACCAAAACATTTAAATTTTCAAAAACGGTTATAAATTTTTGGTTAAAGTTTTTGCTTTTTTCTTGTTCTATAACATTATATTGTGATATATTTTGCTAGAATTAAGCATATTTGATGTATAATTATCATTTTACATCATAAAATTAAAAGAATATCTATTCAATTGCTATTTAAAGGCAATTTTAAAAAATGACCAAAAAAAGTTAATTATACTCCTTTTTTCAAAATTTTTTGGCTTCTATCATAAAGCCAAGGTCTAAAACTATATTTGTGTCAAGAAAAAAGTTGAGTAAGTTAAAAATTCAAAGTAAAATATAGGAAAATAAGGTTAAAAACATTAATTAAATTAACTTATTAAGTCGCCATTTTGATTTTATTACTTTTTAATGATAACTGTAGTTTTAAACTATCTATTGCTGAAAAAACTATCGAAATCGGTGTAAAACTAAGCGAGATAGACTAGTTTTAGTAAAATTTCAAATACCCTTCCCAAAAATTCAGTATCAGATTTTGTCACTTTTAAGACTCTACAACCTTAAGTATAAAACTTTCGTAAAAAATTTATATACCAAAAGATATGCATCAAAAAGTTCTATAAAACAATATATCAAGTTTTATTGTTAGGTTTGTCGTTTAAGAGTAATAGACAAAAAACCATCAAAATCTGACACTTAATCGAAAAACGGTCTTGCCCAAATAAGTATATATACCGAAATTTTTTTAAAAAAAGTTGATTGGATGCTTATGTGTTCTGAATCGAAAGGAGAATTAACTTCAGATTAAAGGAACATATCAAAGCTTTGCACATTCCAGGTTAATTCAAACGTTAATTGGATAAAATATGTTCTTTAAATATTTAAAAGTATTTTTATGTACATATATTACATTAAATTTCAATATTTAGAATTATAATAAAATTAAATTTTGATAAAAAAAAATGATAAGAAAAATGAGTGTAATTTGCAAAAAACTATTAAAAAAATTTAATAAATTGTTGCTATAAGAAGTATCCTTTAATATAATAAATACTTTATAAAAATAAAAAAAACTTTTTAAAAAACCACGTTTTTACCCGTAGACTAAAAAGTAGAAAATAACTTTTATATTGGGTTCAAAGGATATTGGTTTGAAAATTTGAGATTGATTTGAAAGTTTCATACTTAAGTCATGACCATACATGAATTGCAAATTTGTTCACTTCGACCATATCGTATAGTTCAACATCTTAAAACGTGGGCGCATTTATACCAAATTTAAGCTTTCCAAATATACAATATTAATGAATGCGCCCACGTTTTAAGATGTAGAACTATACGATATGGTCGAAGTGAACAAATTTGCAATTCATGTATGGTCATGACTTAAGTATGAAACTGTCAAATCAATCTCAAATTTTCAAACCAATATCCTTTGAACCCAATATAAAAGTTATTTTCTACTTTTTAGTCTACGGGTAAAAACGTGGTTTTTTAAAAAGTTTTTTTTATAACGTATTTATTTTCTACTTTTTAGTTTTAAAAAATTATTTAAAGTATCCATCGATCAGCATTAGTTTGTAAACTAGAATTTAACCATTGAAAGTCGTGTAACGTATTTTTTGTGATTCAAACTCATAACGGCTTTTTGAAATTTAAAATTATTGAAAGTTGTTCATATGTTATGTAAAAATAAGCTAAGCCTTAAAGAACAAAAAATTCAATTTAATTGTACTATAATTAAGCAGTTTTAAGTTTCCAAAATGCTTGAATATTGTATTGTCACCGGAAAGATAAGTGCATGCAAAATTTCAGCTTGATTGGAGCAGTAGAAGTGGTCGAAAAATCGATTACAAGATTTGACCTCGACAGATAATCAGACAGATAAGAAAGCAAGTTAAGAAAAACGTGGTAATAAAAACATCGAAATTTCAAAAAATATCAAAATCACAAGATTTAAAATAAGTTTTGATTTAAAATGATATAAAAATAAGTAAAATTGGTTGAAAAAATGTATAAAAATGATTTTGTTGAAATTTGAGTAAAAAAATTGTTCAAACTATGACAAATTCATACTTAATATGTGCGCCTTGATAAGATCTATTGATCTAAAGCAAAAAACTAAAATTTTAAAAACGTACAAAATTTATTTTCAATTTTTTGTTTTGAGATGTATTTCTGGTCACACTTCAAAGTCAAATTGCTCGAGATTGTCTCAGTAACCGAACTCAAACTGATTGTTTATTCTGATAGTTTATCCAAAGAGCTTTCAAAGCATGTAAAAAAATTCCACTACTACGAGCTATCCTGAAAAGCTATGAGAGTTTATGTCAAAAAATTGCATTTTTTTTTTGAAGAAAAGACTTAATTTCATCAGCAAAACTTTACTAAAACTTTAAAGTAATATAAAAAAAAGATTCAGCATCATTTGTTTTAAGAGTGAAGTCCTAGACGAACGTAATCATACTGAACACGTGCTTTTTGGAAAAACCTTAAAACTCGTAAAGTTAAAAGCAGTTAAAAGATGCATACTTAAATGTTCATTATCTTAAAATGAAGCTTTTGTTTAAAGCTACAAAATATAGAAAATTTGAAAGAGTTTCATCAATCCAGTGAATTGTAGTGATAGTTTTTGTGGGGCGAGAAAATGCTCTTCATTGAAACTTTGAAAAGCCATATCTCAGAACTTTGGCTGAATTGGCCACTTTCATAATTATTTTCATAAATGGGAATGAAAAAGCTATCATTTAGATCAAAAAAAAAAATCGGAAAAGTTTTCGATTTCTGGCCCATAGTGTAGTGTATTGGGTAGAAACCCAATGCGGATATATTCACACCGTACCATCAAAGGTCTTATGGATAGACCAAGATTTGCACAGCATAAGTTTGAAGGTATAAAGCTAGATAAGTCAGCTGAGCTTCGCTCAGCATAAGTTTAAAGGTATAAAGCTAGCGAAGCAGCTGAGCCCAAACATTATTCATGAGTGACGCTTAGTAAAAGCTCTATTCTGAAGCCACTGTTCAACTTTATAAAGTGAGTTGCCTACCAAAGACCAGGAATTTTTTTTCCCTATTTTACGAAATAGGTTTTACAATTGTCACTATTAAGGATTCGGAGAAAATCTACAAACCATAGCGTCACTCACGAATAATTTTTTTTCGTCGGGGCCCTTTTTGATAAAGCGTATGGGAAATTTTTTGGATGAGTGGAGTTCTGGAAAATGAGTTTTCATAATCCAGAGTCAATTGCACTCCAGGTGCAAAAATGTTTTATTCAAAATCTCTCCAGTGCTGATTCGTGAGAAAATTAATTTCACGAGCTGCATTAAAATTGAATTAAGCATTCAAACCATTAACACTGGAGAGATTTAGAAGAAAACATTTTTGCACCTGAAGTGCAATAAATTGACTCTGGGTTATGAAAGCTCATTTTTATAACTCTACTCATCCAAAGAATTTTTTTATATATATGTATATGTACTAATACAAACAAAAAAATTTAAATTTTCGATGTTCAATTTTTCATTTAAATACCGATAAATCACTATTCTTTGGTCGGTTACTTTAATTAATAGTAAAGCATTTGCAATACTCCCGTGCCAACAAAACTTAAAAAAGAAAATTGAAAATTTTGCAAAACAAAAAATTTAAAGTTTTCTTTCATAGTGTTAGTGCTTACAGAAAATTCAAAACTTTGTCCACTAAAAACTGCGATATTTTTGTATGAGCTCATTTATATATCTTTGGTAAGCTTATAACGAAAAAATTACATAAGTCCTCGTGTTATTGATCGAGGGACTTAAGCGCATTTTTGTGTAAGCGATCAGTATTTGATTATCTATTTATTTTGCGTTCATTTACAGATCATTTGAAGATTAGAAGATCATTAATTTTAGTGTAATTAGCAAATAATTATAATGAATGCTTATTTAGAAAGGCTTTATTATTTAACGGTCAAAAAATAATTTTAAATTTTCCCGCTAAAAGTTGCACTTCAAAAACAATAACTATAGTATAATTAATAATTTGTAGCAATGAACTTCCATACAGCAAGGGTTTATCATTAAACGTTTTTTTTGGAATTCAAATTTTTTAACGGTTAATAAATAATTTGAAATTTTTCTCGCTAAAAGTTGCACTATGAAAACATTAGTTATAGTATAATTAAATAATTTGTTTCAATGAATTTCCATGTATAAAAAGTTTATCATTTAATGGTTTTCTGAAGTTCAAATTTTGTGACGGTCGTATGCATTTTAAAGTATCTTGCCAAAAATTACAGTAAAAGCATTAATTATAGTATAAATAACAGTCTGTTGCAAAAAAAATTTTCATATAAAAAAGCTTGGTAATTTAACGGTTTTTTGAGATTCAAAATTTTTCAACGGTTGAAATAAATTCGAATTTGTAATAGCTCTCATCACGTGTTTTTTCATATGAAATATAAAAATCATTAATTATAGTACAAAAACACTATTTCAAGACTTTTAAATGCGTTTCCCGAAAATAAAACAATGGACCTGAGGTAATAAAACATACTAGAACTCTCTACGATATCTAGTTAAAAAGTTTTTCTCCTCCCGAACGAACAGACATAATGAGATATTAAGCTACCTTTTAGAAACAAGTTTCAAAAATGCGCTAAAAACAGATAGTTTTTACGTAATTTTCGTACATTGAAAATCCAAGTCCCCATTCTTTGTCTGTAATCTTTGTTCATTAGTGAAATTCCTAATTTTTGTCCACATAATGTAATTTCTATTTAGGTCCGTATCGACAATCCTCACTGGACTATTAAGTATTATGTTGGAGTCAACTCCTTTACTTGGAAGTTGTGAGTCTACATTTTTGGAAAAAAAGAAGCTGGCTTTAAATTCTTTAAATTTCAATCTGAAAAACGAGACATTTGTTGAACTGTTTCCAGAATTGGTAATTGAAATAAAGTCTAAACTTGAGAAGATTAATGAATTAAAGAGACAAAACGAAAAGGAAGCAAGTGAAAAGTCTGCAACTGAAACTAATCGTGTGGAAAGTAGTAGTAATAATGCATACAATTTTTGTTTCAATGTGATAATTTTTGTTATTTTTGGAGTATTTATTTGTATAGTGAAAAAGATTTATGAATCGGGAGATCAAGAGGAGTAAAATAAAGTATAATATACTCATACTGTGGCAACCTGAGTGTCGAATTCCTTCGACACTCAGTGTCGAAGGATTTAAAAATGTCGAAGGAAAGTCGAAATTTTAAATTTTTTTTGACCGTTGAAAAAAATCAAAAAATAAAAGTAAACAAATAAAAATTTCAGTCATAATTTAATCAATTTTGATATTTTAAAGTATTTGAAAACATATTTGAGTGATTTATTTTACAAATTTGATATTTTATTATGGATAAGTGTTGTGTTCAGTCATGTAGAAAATCGCGATCGAATAATTTAGCACTCTTTCGTATGCCTAATGATCCTATGAATGTAAAAAACTGTTAAAAATATGCAAAATTGTTAAAACATGTCTAATTCGTGATTTTACTTTAGATTTCCAAAGTTTATTTTAGCATTAGTATTTTAACGGTTCTTTAGAATTTAAATTTTTAATGGTATTTTTATTTTCAAATAAAAAATAACGGTCATTTTCGACATTGCCACAGTATGAATATACTCTTTCTTATGATGTATGTACATGTAAAAATTATGAAGAGCTAAAAGATAATAAATTTAATAAGATTATTGAAATCAACTTTCAAAAGTGATGCAATAAAATAAAATATTTTTATTTAATATAGGTATTGAGAAAAAATTCTTTTTTATTATTTTCATCTATTTTTTTTATTATTTAAATTATTTCTTAAAGCATGATTATTACTAATTATTTGAAATTAATTTTTTTCCGTCTCCGATCGACTTTTCATTCTAGTAATAAAACTGTTGCTTCTATTTTTGCGGAAGTTCTCATATGGATCATTCATATTCATCCCAATACCCTTTACAAGGATTATAAGAATAGTTTTTTTTTTAAATTATTAGAATAAAAAGTTATTTTAAGAATTACCTTGTACAAATCGGATCTGTCTCTAACTTCTCCCCCAGAAATTGGCTGAGTGATACCTTGATTGCCTATTAATCCTAATCCACCGCTTTCCCATCCCATTTTTTTCAGCATCAAATGACCCTTATTTCCTTCATCGATGCATTCAGAAGATTTATTAGATGCCACCGAGAAACTAGGCAAAATTGGTGGTGAAATGCTACGCTTTCTATTTATCATTCTATCAGCTTTTGAATCGCGATTATTTCTCGAGTCTCTATTAAATCTAAATGGTGGACTTCTTGATGGACTTTTTGAGCGTTGTTTTCTCGTTTTGACAGCAATTTTTGTTTCAGGGGATGATGATCTGCTTTTTGGCCCATTGTCTGGACTTTGAGATCGATAAACTCTCTTTCGACTTTTCTTCATTGGTCTTATCAAAATATCTGGAATTGGTGTTGGTGATTTTGACTTTTCACGTTCAAATCTCATTATTGCTTCCTCTTTTTGCTTTCTAACAGCATTTTTTATTTTGAAGTATTCATATAAGCCAAGTTTTTCCCATCCTTCGTTTCGTGGTCTGTCGTGGCTTGGCGGTGCATAAAATGCCTCAATTGCAGAAAGAAGTTTTTCTGTTGGCATTGATGGAGGTGGCAATTGAATTTTTTCAGGATCAATGCTGTGATAACTAAAGTCTTCAAGTCTTATTAAAGGTACGATAAGACCAGATGGAAGATCGAAATATGGCATTGTTGGTGTTAAATTCACTTCTTCATTCGTTGTTTCGCTGTTTGGAAATGAATTTGGTGTGTTTGAATCATTATTAAAGCCTGGTGGTGGACGTGAAAAGTCAGGAATGGAAAAACTTGGCGGTGGAAGATTAAAGTTTTGCTGAAAGTGCTGTTGATTATTTTGTGATTCTTGACCAAACGAGTTTTGCATATGTTGCGAGTTTTGCACAGCTGCTGACGGCTGTTGTTGCGGATTTGAAAAATTTTGATTGGTGTACATGTTTTGCATCATATTCACTTCATGATTTTGGTTCATAAGTAAATTTACATTACTTAAAATTGATGGAATAACTTGTTGATGAGGAGTATTTGACGTTAACTCATTTAAAAAAAATGCAGATTGTTGTTGAATATTTTGCTGCTCTAAAGTTTGTTTTTGAGCCTCAAGCAATGTTAATTGGTTCGTAGCATGTTCTACGAAAGCCTTATGCTGATTTCTGTAACTGTGCATTTAAAAAAGGTGACAATTTGTAACAATAATAGTTTAATAGTACTATATATGGGCGATTCTCCCAGATAGGTTGAATTTTTAAAAACAGAACTGTAATTCCACTGCTACTTGAAATTTTTAAATTTTTGAAATACGTTGGGAAAAATGTAAACAAAGACTTGTTTACAAAAATAAAATTTTGTTTTAATTTATAAAAATCATTTTTTTTATATGTTTTAATTAAACAAAAGGTAATTAATAATTAATATTGCACTCAATCATCGTTTCTTTTAAAAATATTCCATTTAAATTTATAACGTATTTGAAAAATTTGAATCTCACAAATTAGTTTCAAGCGCTTTAAAAATTACTCGAAGACAAAATTTTCATCAAAAGAATTGAATTTTCTTGTGAAATTTGTATCAAGCTTAATAAAATTGTTGTCATATATGATAAAGTAGTTCGTTTTCTATCGATTGGTATTTATATCACATGTCAAAGAATAGTTTTTAATACTTAATTTTTGATTATAAAAATCCAAATTCCATATTTTGTCTTCGAGAAATCGTCCGAAGAATCGAAATATTTCCTTAATTAGAGTATATTGACAGCATTTAATTATACAGATTTGTAGAGTTTAAAAAGTTGTACAATATTAATTTGTCTTTCGAGGCTCTCTAATGGAAAAAAATTATAAAAAATTCATTTTAGTGGTGGTTTTTTGAAATTTTTTATCTGGAGAATCGCCCATATATTATAGTTTGTAGAAGAAATGTAATCTCATTCATACTCATCAAATTTTTTTTTCATTGCCAGATTTAATGGTGCAATAACAGTAGAATATTGACTTAAGAGCGAGTTTTGATATTCTTGGAGAGACGATGAAGGTGTTGCAAGTTTAGATAACGCACACGAATCGAAAAAGTTTGCTTTTGATGCCCAAAGATTTAGTAATTTGTTTAACTTATCCTTCTGTTCATCATTCGCACCTGTAGATGATTAAAAAAAATATAAAACTTCATCGAAGAAATGATTTGATGCAAAAGGAGCTTACACATTGTTGCCTGACAAAACATTGGAATAACGACACTCTCCAAATTATTTTTCAAGTCATCAACGTTTTTCTTTACACTAAAAAACAAATTTTTAAAAAACGTGAATATTCTAATAAGTTATCAAAACTTTTTGGTTTATATTAAAACTCAGGATATTTCGTTTTGTTTTTGTTTGAAATGTAATTACCAGTGATGAAGTAGGTCATTAATTAAGTAGATAAGATGCAGCTTTTGATTAAACGGTGCATTCGGTGACATAGCCCTATGTTAAAAAGAAAAGGAGATATTGGATTTTCTATTGTCTTTTGTGTTTTTTGAGACGACTTTAATAAAATTTTCACATTCATTCGTTTCCTTTTTTTTCGGAAAAGCATTGCAAAGTTATTTCAATAAATAAATTAATCAATAATTATTAGCGTAAAGATTCTTGTGAAAATATGATAAAAAAATAAATAGAGTACGAAATAGATTTGCTCATAAGAGTATGCTTATCGAAATTAAAATCACCGCTGGAACAAAGAATATCATACAAAAAAAGTGTGTTTTAAACATATGTTACTTTTTAAGAATATATTGCGATATTATTTGTCTTTTAGCTGAATTATTGGTTGCTTGTTGCAAAATCGATGATTTTCCTAAAATTATAATTAATAAAAAATTATGAGAGTTTTTTTGCTACTTTAAAATTCAGACTTAAATACTGCTTCTACATGAGATGGATTATTATGAAAATGTATAAATTATGTAGAAGCTAACTTTATAATGAACTGTCTTAAAACTCTTTTTTAAATGTATGTTTAAATCTTAATACAATTTAAATAAGTAAAAAGTCTACAATAAAAAATATTGACAGAAAAAAAAATACAATAGAATAATTACCATTAGCTATACTATCTTTCGTACAAGCTTGTATGATAGGCTGAAGTATTTCATCAAGTTCTGTTAGCGATATTTCATTCTCTAGGGCGCATCTTTTAATGTACTCAAATTGGGCTTTGGCGAGTGCTTCCTCAATATCAGTCTTTTGCTGTTGCAACAAAACCTTTTTTGAATAGATTTTTTTTATGCAATTTTGCATGCGAAACGAACATATTTATATTTGCGAATGTATCAATAGAAAAACAGTTCGGAGGAACATACAACAAAGTTGATGAAGAAAGTGAATTTGTAGGAGATGTTGTTAAATTTAATCCAGTTTGATACAAGTTCATTTTATATTTATATATACCTGATGTTGAGCATTGAGATTCTTTTCTGATTCTACAATTTGTTCCTTGAGTTTGAGCTGTTTGGTTTTAATTGCTTCAATCTGTGCTGTAGTGTTTATATTCACTTGATGTGGCCGATCTCCGCCATTAGAAGACCAAATGTTTTGCATGCTATTATTTTGGGGCTGTTGTTGCATGACTAAAATCAATATCGTCTAAAGATGTTTCCTTATTTCTATTAATTAAAATATTTGTAATCTTACCAATTACTTTTCTTCTTTCATCAATTACTCTGTATTGATAATAATCATTAAATTCCTTTCCTTGCTGTAGAAAACTGAACTTTGAATTGTTTTGTTGCTTTATTTTTGTCATATTCTCGAATTCCGGTCCATTACGTCCAACAAATTCTGCTAGCTTGTCAATAATGTTGGCCAGTTGTTGATCAGAAGGTCTTACTGGCACCGACATTTTAATTATTGCAAACTTTTTTTCCGTCAGATATGTTAAAAAAAATGCTCTTCGAATTAAGGACGATTCCACAAATTAACCACGTTTCTAAACCAAAATAATTTTTTGTATCATTATTTTATTTCAAAGTATTCCCTATTTTTACGCTAGAAGCCACTACTTGTTACTAAGCTTACTAAGCCAGTACCTTACTAAAGAAAATTGTCTCTAAAATAATTTAAAAACAACCAGAATAGTTATAAGAAAATTTCAGATTTCAATAAAACTTATTAATTTTTTCTTGTTTGTTGACATTTTTTCAACACGTGAATATGTATAAATATATTCAGCTATGCTGAACAATTCTTCTTTTATTTTAAAAATAAACAATTAGTGATTTAAATTAAAAAAATTAAATTTACCCTGTTTTTCGTTATAAGCTAGTAGCTTAGAAGAATAAAAAAAGTGATTTTTTTGGCTCACTAGTAGCTTAGTAAAGAAATTGAACTTAAATGAAAATTTTTGAATTTTTTAGCTTAATTAAAGAAATTTTGCTATCTTCTCGATTTTATTTCATTGACAATGTCATAAGGCATTGAAACTGATACTTAGAAAGTTGAAAAAGATTAATTAAACTTTATTTTTGGTAGTAGCTTAGTAAAGATTCCAAAATATTTTCAAGTTCAAGAAAACTTTACTAAGCGTAGCTTAGTAACGAGTAGTAGCTTATAACGAATAAACAGGGTAGGTTCAATTCATCTGCGGAATCAGCCTTATTTACCAATAAGTAGCTATAGATTTGTAAAAAATTCAATTCGAAAAATGCTTTAAAAATTCGAAATTGAATGAAAAGAATTCGAAAATTGTTCAGTAAAAAAAATAAAATAAAAAATAAAAGCTTGTGACGATCAAGCTTAAGTTTTCATCAGTTTTTAAAAGGATAATAGCGTTTTCACTGCAAAATACTTAATTACTCAGATTGTAGATTGGTAATATAGTGTGATGTGATAGAAATTTTAATGTAAAACATTAGTTTCGTTGTTTATAATTGATGTGAAAAAGTGCTTGCTTTTTCGGACAAAAAAAAGTACATAAAAATTTACAAAAAAAAAACGAACATAGAAAATAAATTTAATAGTGAAAATAAAAAAAAATTAAGAATTATAATGGACCAGTTAGACGATGAACAGAGGAAAATAGCAGAAGAATTACAACAAGCTGGATATGATACACGAAGTGAAGCAAATGATAGTTCAGATGAAAGTATAAGTTCAGAGCATAGCACAAAGCACCGGGAAAAGAAAAATGGTAAATCGACAAGTAAGGAAAAGAACAGCGACATAGCTGAAAATGGGAAAAAAATTCAGAGGAAGTCCTCAAGTCCGGAAATTAAGAAACGTCGTACAAATAGCTCTACAAGTAATAACAATAATAGTAGTGGTGATGAAGCCAAGGAGGAGCAGTCAAAGGATAATAATAGTAAGCCTGGGAAAAAGTCTTACGATTACATGACAAAACTTAATTACTTATTTCGAGAAACAAAGTTTTTTCTGATTAAATCTAATAACGTCGAAAATGTAAGGATCTCTAAGCAAAAAGGTGTATGGTCAACATTGCCACAGAATGAGCAGAACCTTAATCAGGCGTATAAGGAATGTCGAAATGTTATTCTCATTTTTTCTGTTAAAGAAAGTGGAAAATTTGCGGGCTTCGCAAGAATGGGAGGTGAATCACGTCATGATGTTCCAGCTGTTGAATGGGAATTGCCTCCAGGAATTAGTGCTAAAGCTTTAGGAGGAGTTTTTGAAATAGACTGGATTTGTAAGAAAGAGTTATCATTTACATGCACAACACATTTACATAATCCATGGAATGATGGGAAGCCTGTGAAAATTGGCCGTGACGGACAAGAAATTGAGCTGAAAGTTGCAGAGGAACTATGGTATGTTTTATTTTTATTAAAATTAATCTCATATTTACTTCAAATCGTTTTTTTTAAGTCGTCTATTTCCCGAAGATGAGACAATCGAAATGATGCCAGTTTTGAAGAAGTCAAAAGAAATGGCAAAACTTTTGCGCGAAAAAGGAATTACACCAAATTTTCGTCGTCCAACATTAACATCGAGAAATAATGGTGCATCTCGTCGAGGTGGCTTAAATAATCATATGGATAGAAATAATTCTTCAATAATGCGTGGACGTAAAAAAATTTTCATGAAAGGCAAGAACCGAATGAATAATTCTTCAGCTCCACCACTTGGCAAGAAACCAATGTTTAATAGAATGATGAATAAAGGCCATCCATTACATCATTTTTCTGGAAGTACAACAGCAGCCGCTGAAGCTTATGTTGCTGATTATATGAGAACTATGCGATATCAATTACCACCTTTACCCATGAATCCACCAACTAGCAGTTTTGGATCATTACCTCTTCCAAGATATTACGATGGTGTACCTGCTATTCCAGATTATCCACCTCCACCGATTACACACCGAAATCAACAAGTTCCGACAACATCTTCGTCATCAAATTACGATAAACGGAGCTATGACGAATTTATTTGGAAAAGTAAAAATCGAAATACTAATGGAGGACTTAACATTTCAAACAATCGAGACCGCAGTCGAGATTCACGTGATCCATATAGAAGTGGAAATGATAAACATCGCAATTATCGTCGATAAAATGATTAATCTCCATCATTGTAATCCAATTATTGACTACAAGTTAAATGGATTTTTAATAACGTATAAATAAGAAAAAATTAAAAAAGTCCTCGTGTATTTGATCGAGAGACTTCAGCGCTTTTTTCACGCAGCGATCGGTATTTGATTAGTAAATTCACATAAAAACGCATCTACAGAATATATTAAATGGTAATCAGTTTTAATTGTAGCGTAATAAAACGACTTTTTAATGAATTTTTGTATTATGTCCTTTAACCGTTTTTTTTTTTTCATTTTCAAATTTTTAACAATAGAAAAACATTCAAATTTTTGAATGCAAATTTTACAACGGTATACAAAATCCATTAATTTAAATTTTATAACTGTCGAGCGCGTTAAAAAGAATGAAAATAGAAAAACCTTTCACAATAATTCAAGTTCCCTTTTCTACGTTAAAACTAAATAATTGCATTTGTAAATAGACACATCTCACAAAAAAAAAAAAATAACGATAAGTAATAGTGCTATGATTTTAAAGGATTACTCTGTTTTCCCTTTATAGGCCTCTACTCGTTACTAAGCCTTAGGCTTAGTAAAGGATTTTGAACTTCAAAACTTTTTGGTTTCGTATAATTAGCAAATTTCCTATTAAATAAGGTTGGAAAACAACTTTTATATGTGTAAATTGATAGATAACATCAAAACTAGATGTTCCAAAAAAATTTCAGTCATATAAAATTAGTTTAATCAACAAAACCTTTGAAAAACTAAGTTTGTTTTGAATTAAATAAGCCTCTAACCGTTATTAAGCATTTTTTCCCCAGAAACATCATTTTAAGCCTTGCGCTTATAACTATAAAATAGGGTAATGATAAAATCAAGATGCTGCGTAATTTGAAATAAGTATAGAAATCGCCACTCGTGACGGATGGAGCGTATTTTCTCCGTTAAGAGTTATAATAGATCTTAATTAGATAATAGATCTCATTATGACAAAATATTAAAAATGTATCAAAAATATTAAACTCCGTAAAAAAACTTGGACAATGAATCAATGAGAAAGGAAAACTTTACCACGAAACATCAAAGAAATTTAAAACAGAATAAAAAAGTTGTAAAAAATCTGTTGAGTTATTTTTTAAACGAAACATTCTTATTCGTTTAACAGGTATCAATAAAAAGAAAGAGATGATATCTTTAAAATCATGATTTTATCAATATTACTATTATAAAAAAATAATTTAAGATCTTTATCAAGACTAAAATTAAGAAAAGATAAAACTAAAAATGGTCACATCTACATTTTTTTCATTGTCAACTTTACACTTCTTTGGAAATAAATTTGAAATCCTTTGTAATTCCTTTGAAATATGCATTATGTAATGCATACAATTTTCAACAGTTATTTGCTCTGGAAACCCGAAATATATTTTTTAAAACAATTTATTTATGCAAGATTTGTTTAAATTGAGATGTGTCATTTAAGTTTCTTCAGTGTAAATAGCTCATCTAACCGAAGATGGAATTTAATCTTTAACCTTAACTTTAGTGCTCTAGAGATGAAAGAAAAAAATTAATTATTACTTTAACATATAATAAACGATTAAAGATGAAACTTAATTTAATTAAACAATAAAAATTAAAATTATTGTCGTGAATTATATTTCAAAAACAGAATGAATAAAAAAAAGTAAATAAAAAATTGCTTAAAAAATAAAAGATTTATCACCATGTTTATTTTTCGGGGTACTTTATTTTTCTAGTGCATTTTTGAAAAATTGTTTCTTAAATGCTAGCTTATTCAGCTGACGACAATAACTTTTTAACCAGATATCATAGAGAGCTAGGGTTTGTTTAAATTTGGTATGGTATTCAAAGGTCATCGGTTCGAATCCAGCCATTTTACAACATACTTGATCAAGCCATAATTGTGCAACGTTGGATTAAGGAATGGATCAGGAACTTAAAGTGTAGCGGAAGAAATAGGAACGAGAGCTACCGGCCGATTTCACAAAGGTGGATAATCCTCGGATCGGATTATCCACTTTTTGAATCCAAGGATAATCCATGATTTTTTTTACTGCGTTAAACTGCACGGTGTATCAGAAAAAATGGATTTGAAAAAAATAATTTTTTGACAATGGATTTCACAAAAAAAGATTATCCTAGTATGTGGATTATCCTGAGATTATCCTAGGATTATCCACATAATTATTCCAAAATGTTAAAACTGGGTCCCCCCAAGATTGAAAATTCGGATAATCTTCGGGATTATCCTAGGATAATCTTAGGATAATCCATATACAAAAATTATTTTTTCGCTATATTCACAATACAATAATAAGATTTTTTCTCAAACTAGTTTGATTATTATTAACCAATTAATTCTACACCAGAAAAAAATTATTTGGATTTTTCTCATATCAAAGAAATAGATAATCCGAAAATGAGGATTATCCACCTTTGTGAAATTGGCCGTACAAGATTACCTTATAATGGAATACTTGTATGGAAAGTATTGTAAGTATTCTAGTTTTTACAAGACAGTTTGAGAAACATTTGTCATATGAATTTGATTATAATTGATTTTTTGAACCATAATTTGATAAAAATACATAATTAGCAATTTTGAACTAAATATTTTTAAGTTTTAATTGAAATTTTATAGTTCTCCAAAAATATTCAGTCTAAAACATATACAAATATTGTAATATAAAAAAAACTTTTTAAAAAACCACGTTTTTACCCGTGGACTGAAAAGTAAAAAATAACTTTTTTATTGGGTTCAAAATATATTGGTTTGAAAATTTGAGATTGATTTGAAAGTTTCACACTTACGTCATGGCCATACATGAATGCGGACGATATCGTTGGCATTACCGAGATAATGAGTGAGATGCAGAGTTTTCTGGATGACCTTATTTCGTGCTCCCGTGATGGGGGTCTATTCAGGCTCTGCATATAGGGAATGAGGTGGTAGAAGAAGTGGACAAGTTTGTCTTGGGCAGTATTATTTCTAAGGACGGCGGTGCTGAAGACGACGTCCGTAACCGCATTAGACTGGCCAATGCAGCTTTTGGCTCATTACGACATGTCTGGACCTCTCTCCGACTTTCGAGACGGCTGAAGATTTTCAACTCGAACGTCAAGCCTGAACTTCTTTACGCATGCGAGACTTGGAAAGTTACAAAAGCTCTTACACAACGCATGCAAGTTTTCATCAACAAATGTCTGAGAGCAATATGTGGCATCTACTATCCTCAAACAATAAGGAGCACAGAGCTGTATGCAATGACTAAACAACAAATTATTGCAGACGAAGTTGGGAAAAGGAAATGGAACTGGATTGGCCATACATTAAGGAAAGGCCATACAGACATCGCGAGACAAGCGATTTTCTGGAATGTCCAAGGAAACAGGACTAGGGGCCGATGGAGAATTACTTGGCGTACAACTGTTGAACGGGAGGCGGAACAACAGAACAAGAAGCTGCAGGAAATAGCAGCTTTGGCCCAGAATCGAGTGCGATTCAAATGCTTTGTGGACGCCCTACGCTTCATAGTGGAGCAATAGGAACCCATCATCATACATGAATTGCAAATCTGTTCACTTCGACCATATCGTATAGTTCTACATCTTAAAACGTGAGCGCATTCATTTGTATTGTATATTTAGAGAGCTTAAATTTCGTATAAATGCGCCCACGTTTTAAGATGTAGAACTATACGATATGGTCGAAGTGAATAAATTTGCAATTCATGTATGGTCATGACTTAAGTATGAAACTTTCAAATCAATCTCAAATTTTCAAACCAATATCCTTTGAACCCAATAAAAAAGTTATTTTCTACTTTTCAGTCCACGGGTAAAAACGTGGTTTTTTAAAAATTTTTTTTTTCTCCTTTTTAGTTTTAAAAAATTACTTAAATTATCCATCGATCAGCATTAGTTTGTAAACTAGACTCTTACCACAGAAAGTCTTCATCCATTGGGTGTGCTATCGCACATCATAAATTTGTAAACTAAAATCAAACCATTGAAAGTTTTCATCGATCAGCTGTGCTTCGCACAGCATAAGTTTGTAAACTAGAATCATACTTATAACGGCTTTTGAAATTTAAAATAATTGAAAGTTGTGCATATGTTATGTAAAAATAAGCTAAGTCTTAAAGAGTAGAAATTTTAATTCAATTGTACTATAATTAAGCAGTTTTAAGTTTCCAAAATGCTTGAATATTGTATTGTCATCGGAAAGATAAGTGCATGCAAAATTTCAGCTCGATTGAAGCAGTAGAAGTAGTCGAAAAATTCATGACAATATTTGACCTCGACAAACAGATAAACCGATAAGAAAGCAAGTTAAGAAAAAACGTGGTAAAAAAACGTGGTAAAAACGTGGTAAAAATATTTTTATTATTATTATTTATTGCTCTCGTTTCTCTTTCCTTTCACACAGAGGAAAAGCCTCCTTAAACAGTACTTAAACTATTTTAAGCGGCATAAAAACCTCTGCATTAACATACAATAAAATAAAATATAAAAAAAAGTTTCAATGCAACATGTACCTTAAAGAAACTTAAAAATTAAACATACAGATATTAACGGTCATTCTTAATTTGAAAAATATGTTTTTAACTGACAAAAACAAAACATTTCGTAAATATGAAAATTTGATCATCTCAGAGATAAAAGTGTAAAAATAAATAAATAAATAAAAATATTTGTGTACAAAATTTTTGGTAATAAAGTCATTTTTCAAAATTGTCAATAGCAAAAAAGTAGTTTTTTTTATAGCGCTTTAAGATATATCATAACATTGCTATGCCTCGATTTTAGTTTGTTTCTTTAAAGTTTACTTTGCTTTTAGTAAGGACATTTTTCATCGAAAATTTTCAGTGAATTTTCCTGAAATGATATATCTTTTTGTATTAACTAGGCATTCATGATTTACCGGACCCAAAAACTTAACTGGACAAAAATTTAAACTCAAATATCAAACATGCTCCTGGAAATTTGGAAGATTTTTTTGTGTTCAAATGATGAATCTTTTCAATTGAGATAATTTGACATTAAAATTTTTTGGATAACTATTTTTATTCATCGAGTTTCTGTCCCAAAAATTTCGGGAACAGGAAATCGTGAAAGTCTAGTATCAACTATAAGAACTAAAAAAAATAAGAATAATTTTGACAAAGAAAGAAGAAAATATACAGTTTTATATTGTCTTAGAGATGCAGTTGTTGAAAATATGTATTTTCAAAAAAAAAAAAAATGCTAGA